TGCTGGATACACAAATGATAACAGTTTGTCCTGCTGGATACACAAATGATAACAGTTTGTCCTGTTGGATACACAAATGATAACAGTTTGTACTGCTGGTTACACAAATGATACAAGTTTGTCCTGCTGGTTACACAAATGATAACAGTTTGTCCTGCTGGGTACACAAATGATAACAGTTTGTCCTGCTGGATACACAAATGATAACAGTTTGTACTGCTGGTTACACAAATGATAAAAGTTTGTCCTGCTGGTTACACAAATGATAACAGTTTGTCCTGCTGGATACACAAATGATGACAGTTTGTCCTGCTGGGTACACAAATGATAATAGTTTGTCCTGCTGGATACACAAATGATAACAGTTTGTCCTGCTGGATACACAAATGATAACAGTTTGTCCTGTTGGATACACAAATGATAACAGTTTGTACTGCTGGTTACACAAATGATAACAGTTTGTCCTGCTGGATACACAAATGATGACAGTTTGTCCTGCTGGATACACAAATGATAACAGTTTGTCCTGCTGGATACACAAATGATAATAGTTTGTCCTGCTGGATACGCAAATGATACCAGTTTGTCCTTCTGGTTACACAAATGATAAAAGTTTGTCCTGCTGGTTACACAAATGATAACAGTTTGTCCTGTTGGATACACAAATGATACAAGTTTGTCCTGCTGGTTACACAAATGATAACAGTTTGTCCTGCTGGATACACAAATGATAACAGTTTGTCCTGCTGGTTACACAAATGATAACAGTTTGTCCTGCTGGATACAAAATGATAACCTGCTGGTTACACAAAATGATTTGTCCTGCTGGATACACAAATGATAACAACATGATAACAGTTTGTCCTGCTGGTTACACAAATGATAACAGTTTGTCCTGCTTGATACACAAATGATAACAGTTTGTCCTGCTGGTTACACAAATGATAACAGTTTGTCCTGCTGGTTACACAAATGATAACAGTTTGTCCTGCTGGATACACAAAATGATAACAGTTTGTCCTGCTGGTTACACAAATGATAACAGTTTGTCCTGCTGGATACACAAATGATAACAGTTTGTCCTGCTGGTTACACAAAATGATAACAGTTTGTCCTGCTGGTTACACAAATGATAACAGTTTGTCCTGCTGGTTACACAAAAATGAGTTTGTCCTGCTGGATACACAAATGATAACAGTTTGTCCTGCTGGATACACAAATGATACAAGTTTGTCCTGCTGGTTACACAAATGATAACAGTTTGTCCTGCTGGTTACACAAATGATGACAGTTTGTCCTGCTGGATACACAAAATGATACAAGTTTGTCCTGCTGGTTACACAAATGATAACAGTTTGTCCTGCTGGATACACAAATGATAACAGTTTGTCCTGTTGGGTACACAAATGATACAAGTTTGTCACAAAATGATAACAGTTTGTCCTGCTGGATACACAAATGATAACAGTTTGTCCTGCTGGATACACAAATGATGACAGTTTGTCCTGCTGGATACACAAATGATAACAGTTTGTCCTGCTGGATACACAAATGATAATAGTTTGTCCTGCTGGATACGCAAATGATACCAGTTTGTCCTTCTGGTTACACAAATGATAAAAGTTTGTCCTGCTGGTTACACAAATGATAACAGTTTGTCCTGTTGGATACACAAATGATACAAGTTTGTCCTGCTGGTTACACAAATGATAACAGTTTGTCCTGCTGGATACACAAATGATAACAGTTTGTCCTGCTGGACACACAAAATGATAACAGTTTGTCCTGTTGGATACACAAATGATAAAAGTTTGTCCTGCTGGTTACACAAATGATGACAGTTTGTCCTGCTGGATACACAAATGATAACAGTTTGTCCTGCTGGATAAACAAATGATAACAGTTTGTCCTGCTGGATACACAAATGATAACAGTTTGTACTGCTGGATACACAAATGATACACAGTTTGTCCTGCTGGTTACACAAATGATAACAGTTTGTCCTGCTGGTTACACAAATGATGACAGTTTGTCCTGCTGGATACATACAAATGATACAAGTTTGTCCTGCTGGTTACACAAATGATAACAGTTTGTCCTGCTGGATACACAAATGATAACAGTTTGTCCTGTTGGGTACACAAATGATACAAGTTTGTCCTGGTTACACAAATGATAACAGTTTGTCCTGCTGGATACACAAATGATAACAGTTTGTCCTGCTGGATACACAAATGATGACAGTTTGTCCTGCTGGATACACAAATGATAACAGTTTGTCCTGCTGGATACACAAATGATAATAGTTTGTCCTGCTGGATACGCAAATGATACCAGTTTGTCCTTCTGGTTACACAAATGATAAAAGTTTGTCCTGCTGGTTACACAAATGATAACAGTTTGTCCTGTTGGATACACAAATGATACAAGTTTGTCCTGCTGGTTACACAAATGATAACAGTTTGTCCTGCTGGATACACAAATGATAACAGTTTGTCCTGCTGGACACACAAATGATAACAGTTTGTCCTGTTGGATACACAAATGATAAAAGTTTGTCCTGCTGGTTACACAAATGATGACAGTTTGTCCTGCTGGATACACAAATGATAACAGTTTGTCCTGCTGGATAAACAAATGATAACAGTTTGTCCTGCTGGATACACAAATGATAACAGTTTGTACTGCTGGATACACAAATGATACAAGTTTGTCCTGCTGGTTACACAAATGATAACAGTTTGTCCTGCTGGTTACACAAATGATGACAGTTTGTCCTGCTGGATACGCAAATGATACAAGTTTGTCCTGCTGGTTACACAAATGATAACAGTTTGTCCTGCTGGATACACAAATGATAACAGTTTGTCCTGTTGGGTACACAAATGATACAAGTTTGTCCTGGTTACACAAATGATAACAGTTTGTCCTGCTGGATACACAAATGATAACAGTTTGTCCTGCTGGATACACAAATGATAACAGTTTGTCCTGCTGGATACACAAATGATGACAGTTTGTCCTGCTGGATACACAAATGATAACAGTTTGTCCTGCTGGATACACAAATGATAATAGTTTGTCCTGCTGGATACGCAAATGATACCAGTTTGTCCTTCTGGTTACACAAATGATAAAAGTTTGTCCTGCTGGTTACACAAATGATAACAGTTTGTCCTGTTGGATACACAAATGATACAAGTTTGTCCTGCTGGTTACACAAATGATAACAGTTTGTCCTGCTGGATACACAAATGATAACAGTTTGTCCTGCTGGACACACAAATGATAACAGTTTGTCCTGTTGGATACACAAATGATAAAAGTTTGTCCTGCTGGTTACACAAAATGATGACAGTTTGTCCTGCTGGATACACAAATGATAACAGTTTGTCCTGCTGGATAAACAAATGATAACAGTTTGTCCTGCTGGATACACAAATGATAACAGTTTGTACTGCTGGATACACAAATGATACAAGTTTGTCCTGCTGGTTACACAAATGATAACAGTTTGTCCTGCTGGTTACACAAATGATGACAGTTTGTCCTGCTGGATACGCAAATGATACAAGTTTGTCCTGCTGGTTACACAAATGATAACAGTTTGTCCTGCTGGATACACAAATGATAACAGTTTGTCCTGTTGGGTACACAAAATGATACAAGTTTGTCCTGGTTACACAAATGATAACAGTTTGTCCTGCTGGATACACAAATGATAACAGTTTGTCCTGCTGGATACACAAATGATGACAGTTTGTCCTGCTGGATACACAAATGATAACAGTTTGTCCTGCTGGATACACAAATGATAATAGTTTGTCCTGCTGGATACGCAAATGATACCAGTTTGTCCTTCTGGTTACACAAATGATAAAAGTTTGTCCTGCTGGTTACACAAATGATAACAGTTTGTCCTGTTGGATACACAAATGATACAAGTTTGTCCTGCTGGTTACACAAATGATAACAGTTTGTCCTGCTGGATACACAAATGATAACAGTTTGTCCTGCTGGACACACAAATGATAACAGTTTGTCCTGTTGGATACACAAATGATAAAAGTTTGTCCTGCTGGTTACACAAATGATGACAGTTTGTCCTGCTGGATACACAAATGATAACAGTTTGTCCTGCTGGATAAACAAATGATAACAGTTTGTCCTGCTGGATACACAAATGATAACAGTTTGTACTGCTGGATACACAAATGATACAAGTTTGTCCTGCTGGTTACACAAATGATAACAGTTTGTCCTGCTGGTTACACAAATGATGACAGTTTGTCCTGCTGGATACGCAAATGATACAAGTTTGTCCTGCTGGTTACACAAATGATAACAGTTTGTCCTGCTGGATACACAAATGATAACAGTTTGTCCTGTTGGGTACACAAATGATACAAGTTTGTCCTGGTTACACAAATGATAACAGTTTGTCCTGCTGGATACACAAATGATAACAGTTTGTCCTGCTGGATACACAAATGATAACAGTTTGTCCTGCTGGTTACACAAATGATGACAGTTTGTCCTGCTGGATACACAAATGATAACAGTTTGTCCTGCTGGATAAACAAATGATAACAGTTTGTCCTGCTGGATACACAAATGATAACAGTTTGTCCTGCTGGATACACAAATGATAATAGTTTGTCCTGCTGGATACACAAATGATAACAGTTTGTCCTGCTGGATACACAATGGTGTAATGAGATCATTGGACTTAAAGGAATAATCAAGGTCAAGACAGGTTTACAAAATAGTTTACAAAGTGACCCTAGGCTATATAACTGTCAGCCATAATGAACTTTGAGTTGCTATGCCTTGAAAAAACATAAATGTCGAGGTTGAAAAAACATAAATGTCCAGGTTTGGCCGGAACATCTACAAGTTTCAAGCCATCAAATCCTGCAGTGATGAACAATATACAATTACAAATATTTGGGCCAGATGAGTTTTAAAAGTTGACTATTAAAACCAAAAGTTGCACTGACCACAATCCGAGGTATATGTCTCTGCTCTCCTGGTCCGTATACACCAGCCAGTCTGAGAGCACATGTATACAACACACTGCCATCTGCTGTCTGGGATCCACTGGCGCCAAGAACCTTCTTCTCAGAATGCATCTTCGTCAGTGAATAATATTCTGTGAACTAGGAAGCAAAAACAAGCACACTAAATATATGTGTACAATTCCATGTTAAATCCCAAAGACACATTGTGATATTCTTATCAGAGAAATAAATAGGTGGGTTAATAGGACTAAAGTAATAACAATAATTAACACTTGTTACATTCCTGTAAAGAGAAGAAATAAACACACAGCATCAAAGTTAGTGCTTCAAGCTGTGACTAATCATGGCTGAAGCTTTTTCTCACGTCGTGTGCCAACAAACATGATCAAGCTCAACAGCCAATGTGCCCAACCAATACCTAGAGGATACAACAACATTACATACATGGAGGTGAGGTGAGGTGAGGTGAAATTGGGTTTAACGTCGTGCTTGAGAATATTTCGCTCATATGACGATGTGCATGCGTGTGTATGTGTATATGCGGCTGCTTGTACTAGCCCAGACTTAAGCTGGTTTTATAGTGCTAGCCCACTGAGATACCATGCCGCAGTGAAGCATGAATACCCCACTCAGACACATTATACTGACTCCAAGCCGACCAGTCCTTGTTGTACCCATTAATGCCGAGCGCCAGGCAGGGACCAACAAGTACCATATTTTAACGTCTTTTTGGTATGACGCGGTCGGGGATCGAACCCGCGACCTTCCGCTCTCTACATACATGGAAAATATCCTGAAATATACTGAACTTGACTGTGAATTTGGGGTTTCTCTGAAACATATGTTATTTCTACTGCTTAATAAATTAAGAATTGACTTCTGTGTGTCATATTATGCATTGTACACATAATTTTTTTTCCATTTATAACCCCTTTAATGTAAATGCAAAAACATACTGAAGTGTATTTTTATAAATGAATATTTCAGTTACATAACTTCTTCACTCATTATTTATCATAATCACAAAAACATAGACCACAGCACGAAATCAGAGATACTGTTCGGCACAATAATGCAGTATGACCTTTGCCCATTCTTCTATCAAAAATCCAGCTACAGCTGTCCATTAGTTAGTCAGTCTTCAACCACACGAATTTTCCCTTCCACCAAGCCCTTTCTGTAATGCAAAACCCCTAAATGAAGCAAGTATAGATATTCCTCTGTTTCAGTTCTGAATCTCCTATCTCACTGCAGCTGTTTTACAATTTGAATGGAACTATTAATTTCTATCAACGTTGTACATTTTCAGAGTCTAAGTGTTAAGTGTTAGTCTGTTGGTTGTCTTTGTCTAGCTATTTGTTTCTGGTCTAAGACTGACTGACTGAGTTTAGTTTTACGCCGCTTTTAGCAATATTCCAACAATATCACAGCGGTTCTGGTCTAAGAAACAAATGTAAAACTAATTAAGGTGTTAGTCAATCAAATAATGAAATCACTTGCAAATTATCTATTTTAGAATTAACATGAAAGATCTATATGAAAAAATTCGTGAAAGTTGTTGATAGATGTTGATAATCAATATAGGCACACCCTAACCACCTGATCCACAACATGGTAACAACAGAAAGTCATAGAACTCAAACGTTTTAGCAACAAGTTCCTTTTGGACCCCACAACCTTTCACTGATTGAAGGGCAATGACCTACAAACTATTCTCGCAACAGAGCAAAGGTCATTCAGAAATCAGTAATTACAACAAATTACATGATATCATTAGAGAATCCAAACCCCGCTGGTGTCTGGATTGTGAAGATTCTCCCCCTGGTGGATTTGGATTAGTATCACATTATCAGGATTCTCAGGAGATTGTGTTCATTCTGGCTGCATGTGTAATGTCTTGCAAGGGGATACGATTATCTAGAAATTCCCTGTACAAACATCTCATCTTGGATTAGAATGTCTGCTCCCAACATGGCCAGACAGCCGACTTACTGTAGTCAGAGAAATTAGTTATGACAATATTGTCTCCGCACCTAATATCCCTTCAATTACAATATTTATGATATAGGTATAATAGCGAAATAATGGTGACAGTCTGGCTTTTGATGCTTCTCTGACTGATGACCACTATGAAGGATGTCAAAATATCACATACATATCTGTCAGATATCAAAGGTATTAGGAGCAGATGACATCTATTTTTAAATTAGGCCCTGTTGACGAGACATCAAAGGAAAGAAAAATACATTTATTCATAGTTATTAGGAAGTATTGTCTGCAGTATCTCATTTAACAACAATATTTTTGATTGAGTTAATATATAAAACAATAAGGAAACTAATTCATTCTTTCAGACTACCTTTATTCCATCAGCCTGCATCGATTAATGAAGGATATAGAAATGGATGAAATTCATATGTGGTTGTCAAGAGTTTCAATCTTTGACTTCCACCAGGCTGGAAGTGAGATGTTGGATGTGTTTGGGTGATTACAATTTGAAACACAAGGTATCAAATATTAACGGAGAAGTCTTCGCATGTGTTGGTTACATCACAATCTCAAGTGCAGAAGTCATAAAGCCAAATATCCTGTGTCCACTACTGGCCTGAATGATCACATGACACCTTCTGTCCATGAAACCAAGTTGGCTGCGAATGACACCTTCTGGACATGAGACCAAGTTGGCTGTGAATGACATCTTCTGGACATGAAACCAAGGAGGCTGGGGATGACACCTTCTGGACATGAACCCAAGGAGGCTGGGGATGACACCTTCTGGACATGAAACCAAGGAGGCTGGGGATGACACCTTCTGGACATGAAACCAAGGAGGCTGGTGATGACACCTTCTGGACATGAAACCAAGGAGGCTGGTGATGACACCTTCTGGATATGAAACCATGGAGGCTGTGGATGACACCTTCTGCCCATGAAACACAATGAGTCTATGGATGACACCTTCTGGATATGAAACCAAGGAGGCTGGGGATGACACCTTCTGCCCATGAAACACAATAAGGCTGTGGATGACATTTTCTGGATATGAAACCAAGGAGGCTGGGGATGACACCTTCTCATGAAACCAAGGAGGCTGGGGATGACACCTTCTTCCCATGAAACTAAGCAGGTTGTGGATGACACCTTATGGACATGAAACCAAGGAAGGAGGCTGGGGATGTCTCCTTCTCCTCATGAAACCAAGGAGGCTGAGGATGACACCTTCTGGACATGAAACCAAGGCGGCTGGGGACGACACGACACCTTCTTCCCATGAAACCAAGGAGTCTGAGATGACACCTTTTGGACATGACTGACTGAGTTTAGTTTTACGCCGCTTTTAGCAATATTCCAGCAATATCACGGCGGGTTTTGGACATGAAACCAAGGAGGCTGGGGATGACTCCTTTGGGACATCACACCAGTCTGTACAACTATACCGTAGAGAATGACATAGCGCAGGAGCATCACAAGCACAAGTACAGACAGTGGGTTGTATTTCAGGATATCTGCTTTTGCTCATTACATGCAAAATGTCACCTGTATGGCACAATGAATGCAAATTATAAATAAAGGAAAATTACAGATTCAGAAGGTGTTATCTCACCTTGTCCTCCGTGAGATAGGGCAGACTCTCGTCTCCATCCCGGATCTCCTGCCCACCGAAGACGACGTTGTAGGTGCTGGTATACACCAGTCTTGTCACATTGCAGTCATGGCAGGCTGAAAATACGGTTGGCATTGAAAAGATGGCTAGGGTGAAGGGGGGTGAGTAAGTGAGTTGTTGAATGAGTGAGTGGTTGAGTGGTTGAATGAGTGAGTGGTTGAGTGGTTGAGTGAGTGAGTGGTTGAGTGAGTGACTAGTTGAGTAAGTGAGTGGTTGAGTGAGTGAGTGGTTGAGTGAGAGTGGTTGAGTGAGTGGTTGAGTGAGTGAGTGGTTGAGTGAGTGGTTGAGTGAGTGAGTGAGTGAGTGGTTGAGTGAGTGAGTGAGTGAGTGAGGTTTAACATTTTTAAAGTTATATCATAGTGTGTCAGCTTAATCTGAGAGGAATGCCCAGAGTGAGCTAGTGTCAGGCATTTACTTTGGTGAACTCCAGGAGCACAAGTATGGTGCTGACAAACCAAGAAACATGATCATTAAACCAGTACATGACTAAACCACTTGACAATCCCACTGAAAACTGGCTGGATACCAGGATTCTACATGACTTGTAACTTCTGTAATTCTGCGTGTACTTGTCACAATAATTTCCTGAAATACTCATATAAGTTTTATATATGAGTTGTAACTGGTGAAGTATATTTGCTAACAATATTTACACTGCATATTTATGATACTTTTTTATAAAAATATTGACCCCTTCTCTGCAACTATTTTAATTTTAAGTTTTATTGAATGTGATTAAACAACTCTTTCATGAAATAGAAACCTGGGGTTTCCACGGCTTATTTATAGAATGCTGGAACCTTTTCTCCGGACAAGTGAGACCGACTTTGAAGTGGTACTTGTGAACTGTATCATTTAAAATGCATCTGATATGGATTTATGACTGGTCAAAAATGAGGATTATTTCCCAATTTCTATTTTTCCGACAGCTTGTGTGTTTGCTGCCCATGCTAGGATACTGATTAGAAGTAGATGAGTCAACTCACATACAGGGGTACAGATAGGAAATATATACAACATACTGATTAATGAGTGCATCTTTCCAAGTTGATTAGACAGACAGACAGACATATTTATTTGTATATGTGGCCCTGAGGCCAATAGTACATGTGTACAATAATAACAGTGCATTTATGAGCAGCCTGTAAATACGCGAGTTATAGGAACATCAATAAATCCATAAACGACCATTCACAATTTACATTTTTTCTCTCAACATAAGTATGTGGTACAACACAAGGGCTACCTAAACAACAAGTCAATATCAAATATTAACGGAGAAGTCTTCGCATGTTTCTTCGCAGAATTTTTGTCTCGACGGTTGGTTATAGAAAAAATAAGTTGATTAGTATATACGTTGTTGAATCTTGGTGAGATCAGTCCGACCAACAGGAACATCTATGTACAAGATATCATCACATACAGCCCTTTTAATGAACCCTTAAATCACTACCTTGGAAGAAGAGCATTATATGGTGACATGATGAATCTCCTCACACTGACATAAAGCTGGTTTAGATACAAAGATAAACCCTAAAATAAAACCTACTAGAAATTGTCTCTATTGGGGAGAGCACCCATGGAGATTCCTGGTAAGGCTATGATTGCTTTAAGAGGCAGCTTAAAGGATTTGGTGGTCAGGCTTGGCTGTATGCACAGCATCGCATCTTATCGATTGGTGCTCATGATGTTAACCACTGGTTTATTTGAACCATATGTGAACGCTCACAGACTGTCGTCACGTTGTTGCAATAACGCTGTGTTTAGTGTTAACCCATTTACTTTCTGTCCTAAGCTAATCTTCCACAATGTGGCACAGACCCTTTAATGATACCCATCCAATTTACACAAAGGGGCACAACCCCTTTAAAGAAACCGTCTTTACCCGAGAACACATGTTTAAAGGTACATGCACTGTAATGAAGCTCTGCAGCTACAACACAATGGCGGAGTCCCTTTAATGACACCTCTTCCATTGTACCCTGCAACGCCATGTACAAGAAAGTGTTTTACAACAATGCCCAGTCAGTGAAACACAGCTAACGGAAATTGAACAAGTCTCTAAAGACTGGCTCTCCTCATCAGGTTATGAAGAGCATCGGCTAATCAGGTACTAGATTTCTCCGCAGGAAAAAAATCAAATCAATGTCTGTAATACAGTGATCATCAAAGTAGACAACAAGTTGGATCACAGAGAGACCCTGGCTGGAAATGACCTTTCTTGTTGTAATTATCAAGCTTGGAGAATTGGCTAGCTTTACAGGATGCTGAGATTTTCTTGGAATGAGAACTGAAAATCTTGGCCGCTTGGATGAAAAGGGATTTAAAGGGACTTTCTCTCAATTTCAGCCTCTATTCAGTTGTAATTTGTACACTTCCACTGAGATGATACTTGGATGAAATTCCTTGTAGTTTTCATAATTTCACCCTCTTTTCAGTATTTCATATACTGCTCAAAAATGGTTTAAGAATACCTGATTTTTGTCATATGACTATGGTTAAACTGTCATGTCCATGGATATTCTTTAACTTTTTTGAGAAAAATAACTACATTTGCACTGTAATGAAATTCAAATATGTTTTCTGACAAACTTCGCCTCTATTGTGATTAAATGTAGTTGCACAATAACTTGTATTTAAACATTTGGACAATATAAATCAATACTATCATTATAGATGAAAGGATTTTTGTGTTCTTCAGCTTTAAAAGTTTTATCAGACAAAAATTTTATCACAAGAGAATAAACAGTCAAAAGGCTATACATTTTTTACACCAAAATTACACCTAATTTTGTATAATAAACAACTTTGTCATTTTTTAAATCAAAGTACATTAAACATTAATTTCACAGTAAAACTGGGCCTAATGCCCTCATTATCTCAACAAACATCACACAACTATTTTATGAGTTAACTAAGTCATCATTTTCACTTAATACATCATAAAAATTGACAACATCATGGTATTTATATATTCCCTAACACTATTTACATCAAAAGCAATGCCTAGTGTAAAGGGATACAATTATTCGTCCATCTTCCTCTAGGGATTCATGGACCCCAGGTGGTGATTTATCGGCCACACATCCCTTGCAGACAGACACAATAGCTTCCAAACTATAAACACCCAGCCAAGGAAGACATTCTACTATTGAGAGCCACTGAGGCTGGTCCTGTCCATTTATAATTCAACAACTCCTCGACCAGACCTATTGAACAAATGATGATTTATTAGAACATCACATTTCCTGGTAACTTTCTTGGGTTTTCATCGAGTCAATTGGTCCCGACATGCAATCAGGTGTGGTCCGACATTGTAAACACATTGACCTTGAGTATTTATACACGTCTGCTGCATACAGCACACCTTGAAGCAGGTGATGGCGAGATGTAGAGTTGATATTAATGAACATTTATGTACATGTCTGAAAGGGTTGCCTGGAGTTTTGTGCTTTGTCATCCCAAAGACACAAGTTCAGTTATTTATGTGGGTGTGAAAGCCCTTCTTGGAGCTGCACATCATAAGGTTGGAATATTGCTGAAAGTTGTGTGTAAAATGGTCACTTCCAGGCAGGTGTAGCTGTACAGCATGATATGTCCTGCTTTAATAGTGATTTCTTGTGATAGTGGGTATGTTTTAATCACTTTTAAAATTTTATATCATTACTTACAAATCAAATTAATCTCCACAAACTAATTATTAATGCAGCAATAATTGATCAGGTGATGAGAAAGCTTCTCCTTATAATAATATGTTTTACAAATTAACAAAGAATGCAGCCAAGATAGGTTGGGTGGTCTTGGCAAAGTCAGGCTGGTTAGGCTCATGATCAACTCAGGTTCTTGCACGCGCACACGCACGCACGCACGCACACACACACACACACACACACACACACACACCCTTACATGCAGCCCAGACAGCAAATGGGACTTCTTGCAGGAAGCGTTGGCTTTTTTTTTTTCAAATGTGGAGACTCCCCAAAACTACAGCCTTCTGCATTACCCAGAGTGTCAGAAGTGTTGTGTTCCTGGCAGCATCCCTGGGTACTCTCCCAGTCAGTCAGGAGTTGAGGACAAAAACAAATCTAAGACCGACAAAATTGGGGAATTGAACAACGGGTTTGGGGGATAAAAACATAACCATTTTTTATATTGGCCATGTCTTGCCTGAAACCTGTCAATCTCATTAGTGTCAAAGTCGACATAGAATTCAATGATATAAATGACTTCATTGGATATATAAAAATTTCACGGTTTGGTTTGTTGGATAAGATACATCTGTACAGACGGTCCTAGCAAGTTTGATTTCAGTCATTCAAGACCCACATCCACACTCAACTAATCTGATGTAGCTCTGAATAGCAGCTAACTAATATAATAGACACGCATATAGGTTTCATACAACTTCAAGACTTTCTTTGGAAATAGGAACTTGAATGTTGAGTCTCCCTCTTAGACCTGTACAGATAGTGTTGATTGCACTATAGATGTATATTATTTGCCATGAACTGCTTCGTTGCCAACACAACAGACTTTCTTATGACAATAAAAATAATATGCCTCCACAGACTCCTGTGTTACCAGGCACCGAGTGCCTACACATCCTGTTGGTCAGTGCTACTCAAGGCTTATGTGGCAATCTAATCCAGAGTAACACATCAACCAAGAGTCCAGATCAAATTCTCCATAGGGACAGTCATGGGTTGCCCAGTTCCTGCTGTGGTCTTCACGTTGTAGGAGCCACTGGAGTGATATTGACACACTGTGTATGTTGACTGATCGATACACATTATAACATTTCAACAAGCAGACAAGCAAAGTGGTGTTTCAGGTACTTCTGTTGGTTGTACTTACTCCATCAAATTAGTCCAAGCCTTGTCATCACAAAGGAGTTGCAACATGTTCGGTTTTGTCTCCTTGCTGCCAGGCCAGATAAGGCATGCTGTAGAACCACTAGCCATGATGTAGATCCACTAGCAATGATGTAGGTCTACTAGCCATGATGTAAGTCCACTAGCCATAATGAAGGTCCACTAGCCATGATGTAGGTCGA